AAACTCCAAAATTCTAATGAAAGAAATCAAAGAACTAAATAAATGGAAAGATAGTCCGTGTTCACAGCTAAGAGACTCAGTACTGTCAAGATACTAATCGGTCTTTCCCATGTTATCTACTGATTGCATTCAGTTCTCATCAAGATTCCAGCAAGTCATTTTGTGAATATTGATAAACCGATTCTTAATTTTTTATGGAGCAGCAAGAGACCCAGAATAGCCATATAATATTAAAAGAGAAGAACAAAACTGAGGGACTGACATTGCTGGACTTCAAGACTTTATATAAAGCTATAGTATTCAACGCAGTGTGATATTGGTAAAAGAATATACAAATAGATTGATGAAATAGAACAGAGAGCCTTGGAATTGCATAATACAGTCAACTGATCTTTGGCAAAAGAGCAAGATAATTGTTTTAACAAATGATGATGGAATAAAGGGACATCCACGTGCAAAAAGAAAAATAGTCTAAACTCAAACTTTATACCCTACACAAAACTTACCTTAAAGTGGATCACAGACCTAAATGTAAAATACAAAATTATAAAACTCCTAGGAGCTAACATCAGACAATCTTGATTGACCTTGGGTTTGACTGTGACTTTATTCCCAGAACTGATCTGACATCAAAGGCAAGATCCAATAAAAACAGAAATTGATAGATTGGAGTCCATTAAAATTTTAAATTGCTGCTCTGTGAGAGGTGCTGTCAAAAGAATGAAAAGATAAGTCACACACTGAGAAAAATATTTGTAAAGATACATCTGAGCAAGTACTACCAAGCAAAATAAGGAACTCTCAAAACCTAACAATAAAAAACAAATAATCTCATTAGTACACAGGCCAAAGACCATAACAGATATCTTACCAAAGAAGAAATACAGAAGCATATGTAAAAATGTTGGCCATCATATTTCATTAGGGAGTTGCAAATAAAATGACAAGATACCACTGCAGACCCATTAGAAAGGCCAAAACCTAGAACTAACAACAGCAAATGCTGATGAGGATGTGGAATAACTGAAATTTTCATTCATTGCTGGTGAAAATACAAAATGGTATAGCCTCTTTATTTTTTAATTAATTTTATTGATACAGTTTTGATATACATAATGAACACATTCATCATGGGAATTTGTATTTGTACATAATATACCTTGATTTTTCATTCTTCCCCTTTCCTTCCCTCTTTTCAAGCCCTCTTCCCCTCCTTATTTATAAAAGATTTGTTTCCATTTCCCATCTATTCTTTTTTTTTTGCTTTTCCCTTCCTTTTCTCTTTCTCCTCCCTAGTTCCCCTTCTCATTTGAACAATTTCTTCCTATTTCCCAGTATCTATTATACATTTTGGTCCTTATTTATCCTTTTTGTTTCTCATGCCAGAGAAACAATGCAATATTTAAATATGTGTGTCTGATTTATTTCACTTAAGAGTATGGTCCAAGTGCATCCATCTACCTGGAAATATCTCAAGTTTATCCTTCTTTATGGCTGAGTAGTACTCTGTCGCATTTTTTAAACTCACGTCTTCTTTATCCAGTCATCCATTGATGGGCTTTGGGATAGTACAGATTCTTTAGAGGACAGTTTGATTGTTTCTCACAAAACTGGACATGTTTGTACCACACAATATAGCAATTGTGTTCCTCATTCTTTACCCAAAGGAACTAAATACTTGTGACCACACAAAACCTTGCAAACAGATGTTTATAGGAACTCTATGAATAATTCCCAAAGCTGGGGAAACCAGCAAGATGTGGTTTAGTAGATGAATGGGTAAAGTGTGGTACACCTAAGCCATAGAACATTATTTACTGATAAGAAGAAATGCATTATACAGCCAAGAGAAGACACAGAGGAAATGTAAAGTCTCATTACTGTTAGTCTCGCCTATAATCCCAGCACTCTGGGAGACCAAGGCAGGAGGTTCACAAGTTCAAGCCCAGCCCCGCCAATTAATGACTCAAAGAAATCCTGTGTCAAAGGGGAGCAGAGGGTGGAGCTTGGGATATAGCTTACGGCAAAGGCCCTGGGTTCCATCCCCAGTACTTGGGGGTGGTAATTACTGAGTGAAGGAAGCCAAACTGACAAGGGGACATAGTATATGATTCCAATTACATGACCTCATGGGAAAGGCAAAGCTGGTGACAATAAAAACGATAACTGGTTGCAAGCAGTTAGAGGGCCGAGAGAGGAACACAAGGATTTCAAGGCATTGAAACTACAGTGGAAGATACATTTCGTTATACACTTGTGCAACCCATAGAATGTACAATGCCAGAGTACAAACCTCTGTAAACCATGGACTTTGGATTACAAAGATTGCCCATGGATGCAGGTTCATCAGTTTTAACAAATGTACTGCTCTGCTAGGGCACATTGATAATGGGAGAGACGGCACACTGGTGGGGCCAGAGGGTATATAGGCAATCTCTATCCTTCCTCTCAATTTGATGGTGAGCCTAAAATTTCCCTTTAAAAGTATGTCTTTAAAAGAAGCACAATAGCAATCATAATTATGCCAGAAAAAATGAAACACTGAGGTATATTCTTACCAAAACAAATATAGGATCGAGATGCTACAAACTACAAAATGCCAAGGAAAGAAATCAAAGTCCTAGGGCTGGGGATTTTGCTCAGTGGTGCCATGTCTGCCTTGCAAGCTCAAGGTCCTGAGTTCGATTCCCGGTACTGAAAGAAAGCAAGAAAAATAAAAGACATAAATACAGAGTCCACCAAAAAATGTGCACATACTTCAGGAAAAGAAAAACTACTATAAATATTTAACACTAAATTTATAGAGACATCTGAGTTCATATATATATATAAAGAGCAAGATAAAAATACATCATAGGACAAGAGAGATAGATCTTTTGCAAAAGGGAAAGGGACCAAGTTTAGAGGGAAGGTAAAAGAAGGAAGGGGAAGGAGATGAAAAAAAGAATGAGGATGTTTTATGCCCATGTAACAACTCCCCATGAGGAATGTGATCATTTTGCACTGGAAACATGTACTAATAAAAATCAAAACTGAACACAGCATGAGATATCGCTACACATCTCTCAAAATGACAAAACTAAAAACATACTGACTATATCAAATCCTTATAAGGATGCAGAGAAGCTGGATCACTGATCCATTGCTAGTAGAGATGAAAAGTGTACAGTCATCTTGGCAGTTTAGTAGGTTATTAAAAAAACTAAACATACAACTGCTGCATGACAAAGAAATTTCATCCTTGGGCATCAATTTCAGCGAAATTAAAAAATTACATTCACACAGAAGCCTTTACAGTCATAGTGCATTATTGCAATAACCAAAACTGGACACAAGTGAAATGCCTCTTAGCAAGTTAAAACTGTGCTACATCCTCACTGTGGAATACTACTCAGCAGTAAAATAGAATTGACTATTGAAATACACAACAATTTAGATGGATCTCAAGGGCATTGTGCCGAATGAAGAAAAAACAATTTCATAAGGTCATATGCTCTATGATTCCATTCATACAGAATTTTCATTATAGAGATAAAACAGATTAGTTGTTCTAGGACTTAGGGATTATTGAGGGAAAGCTGAGTGTGATTATAAAGAAGTAGCAAGAGAGAAGTCTTTGCAGTGGCAGAATTGTTCTGTGTATTGATTGTAGTGATGGTTACATACATTTACCCATGCAATAAAATGACTTAGAATTATACATATACATTATCCTAATGACCATTTCCTGGTTTTAGCATCATATTATATTTATACAATATGTAAACCTTGGCAGTAACTGGGTGAAAGGTACATGGGTTCTGTTTTTACTATCTTTGCAATTTCCTATGTCTCTATAATTAGGTTAAAACAAAATTTTTTAAAATAAGGATCCCCAAATTCTGCATTCTAATGAAAGTATCAAACAGATCCAAGTATCTCAACAAAAACATCTTGGTTTATTGTAGTCAGATTGCTGGAAATCAAGGTTAAGGATATTTATTGCCTTCTCATCAGAAATAAAGCAGGCCAGAAGACAACAGAGTGATACCTTTAATGTGCTGGAAGAAAGAAAATTACTCAGCCTAGAATTCTGTATTATCCAAATTATTCTTAAATAAAGGTAAAATCGGGACATTTTCAAATAAAGATAAGTTGAGAACATGTATCATGAGACCTACAATATCAAAATTTTTAATGAAACTTCTTCAGAGTGATTGAGATATTATAACAGATTGAAACTAGAATCTACACAAATAAATGAGAGCATTAGAATGGCAAACACATCTTAAATGGAAAAGATGTTTCATTGTTTTTAACTTTTTTGAAAGATTGTAGAGTGATTTAAGCAAAATAATGTGAAATAGGATTTATAAAGTGGAGAAGTAAAATGTATCACAATATCACAAAGAAAGGCAAATGATAGTATATTCTTACGTATTAATGTAATCTATTACAGTATTCACAACTTTATTTGTATACATATGCATCTGTGTATATATATGAATGTTTGTGTATAATATGTAGAAGAATACATACATACAGGTGTTCTGAGACACGGCCCATATGTTTCACCACATGGTACATGGAACAAGAAAGGCTGTAAACTCCCGATTATGTAGAACATAAAAACATCTATCAGGTGACTCGTAAGCATATTTTAAGGTATTTTAGTGACCAAATGACTTTGCTTTTTCCATCTCTTTACCTTTAAATCACATGATGTTATTGTTCCTGACAAAGATAAAATGGATCCCACTGATGTATTTTGCTGCCACACAGCAACTATCGCCACTCCATCTATCTCCAGTCTACTACGGATGTGTCACTTTCTGTTTCAGCCTCAAGCTCAGCCATAGCAGAAGTTGCTGCAATCAGAGGTGAACTTTAATGATGACTGTTGCCTATTCTTCCACTTGACCCAAGAGGCCACTGGAAATAGCCCAAAGACCCACTGAGAGAGACGGACATTATTTCCCAGAAATAAATACAGCTCAGCTTGTACTTTGAAACTATTGATCAGCCTTGCCACTTGCACAATCTACTAGCAGAGGTCATGCAGCTCCTGAACACGAGCATGGCAGAGTCGTGGGGTCTCATCACCATCTGCCTTTTAGGATATCTACTAAGTGCTGAATGTACAGGTTTGTTTCCTTTTGAAAAATGCATTGAGGGCTCTTGTCTTTTAGATAAAGAAATTTCTGGGGCCGATTTTACAGTGAGATTTAAGATTCCACCAGCCAGCATGTGAATTGGTATGTACTGGCTCTTTGTTAGCAAGGTTATCCTCTTCATTTTAAAAACTAAATATTTACAACACTTAAGGCTGTATTTGTATTTAATAGATACTGTTAAGCTTATGATTTGACAATGTAATTTAGATACTGTTAAGCTTATGATTTGACAATGTAATTCCTTTTAGAAAAATATTTGTCTCCTGGGTTTAAAAGAAAATGTTGAAATTGGGAAAATGTCTTGACAAGGACACAGTAGAACTCATAGGAAAAAAAATTGTTATTTTTGGTTTTGTAGATTCACCACATTGAAATCAAAAGGCAAAGCAATAAAGTAAAAAATGATGGTCTTACTTACACAAAAAGTTTTATTTGAAAATATATAGAGTGTTTTAAAGTTTTATAACTATATAACGAAGCATGTCTCTAAATTTTTTAAATTGTGCACCTTTAATTATATACTCCTTAGTTAAAACAGGAATATTAACCTTTCATTTGTGAGTTGTTACTTATTAAAAAAAACTTTCATGAATTAGGAATAAATCATTTTGTCTGCGATTCTATGTGCCTCAGATTTGATATTTGAGGATACTCAATTGAGCTCCCCTGGGAAGAAAAACAAATCCACAAATTGATGTAAAAAGCAGAAAATTAGTTAATGTAACACATATCACTTTATTTTTTCGCAGCTACAGTGACTTTACATACTCCCCAGAGACAGGTATGCGGGCAAGAACTTTTCCATTTGGACAAACCACATGTTCTCACAGGGAACATTTATCACTTACTTGTCAACCTACTAGAATCAACTCTAGTAGCTGACAGGTCCAGGATCAGGGGTGCCAACCCTTAGTGTCCCCAGAAAGCAGACTGACCCCGCGGTTCCCACTCCAGACATGATGTCAGCTTTGCAATCAGACTGAAATGCTGAAATAATGGTGTGAGAACGCAAAGGTTAAACTGAACTAGCAAAATGGTAGAGTTAAGGGAGAAAGAAAATTCACAAAGCAGGACATAAAGCCAGGTCACTCGATGCATCTCATCAGTGTGACATGTCAGAAGACAAAGGTTCCAAATCCTTTCTTTGAAGTAAGTGATGAGATGCTGGTAATAGAGCACTGCTGACCCCTGAAAATCTTACATGTAGGAAAAAGGATAGAAAGAAAGCGGGACCAGGATTTCAGAGCTGGAAAGTAATGACAGCAGATATTACTGAAGGAAAGTTAAATATATGAACCCTGCACAATACCAAATTTTGAGAATGGCAGTAGGATTCTGGAGCTATTATAGCCAGAGATAATAGGCTCTTGAGGAGAGAGCTGGGGAGTTTCCTGACACTTGGACAGTAGGGAGGCAGCACGCTCTTCTGCAGTAAACATTGTCTTCTAAAAGGAGGAAAAGTTATTGTCTCATTTTGAAATTCTGAAACCAGAATTTTTCTGTGAAACCAGTCCAGTTTTGTAAAGTATATGGCTCCGAACTGTCTTTCATTCATTCTGACATTACTGGGTTAGTACTATGACATCAGGTACTGTGGCGAGGAACTAGGGACATGAGGGTAAAGATGACCGCTTTGACCTAAAGGCCCATGAGAACAGGCATTATATTTCAGTATTATTTGGTAAAATATGTTCCACATGCTAAGGGAGCACAGAATAAGGAACATAACAAATGGAAGAAAACCTAACAGAGCCAATACTGGGAGCTCACTATCCTTAAAAATCTGATCTGGGAATTCCATGGGGAGAAGGCTCTTCATGTGCAAAGATCCACATCCACCACAACATCACAATGTGACGTATTTCAGGAGCTCCATCTAGTTTGTATATTGACCGTGACAAATGAGGCAGGCGAACTCAGTGGGGCCAGTTCAGCAGATAATAAAGGTCTTAAACTAAGGAGCTGGGGCAGTAGAGAGCGATGCAGAGGTATCAGAAGTAGCACTTGTAGCTGAGCAGCAGGCTCAGGGTGGAACTCTAATGAAGTGAAGGTGTGGGGAAAGATGAAGGGAGGGTAGTCCTCAGTTTATTATAATCATCCAGGGGAGACGCAAGGGCTGCAACCTGAACAGCAGCTGTACAGAGAGGAGAAGAATTCAAATGCTACTAAGGAAGTAAAACTGACAGGCCTTAATAACTATACAGTGAGAAAGGTTATGAGGAGGTATATAAAGCATGCCTCGGGCATTTTGAGGTTGATGGGATTATGACACTTTACCTCTAGGACGTTACCTTGAGCCATTGCTTCACCTCTGGCAATGCCAGCCATGCTCATTTGCACAAATCAGATGACATAGTCCCGTGAAATGAGTCCTATGCTCTCTCAGGGCTACTGTGAGGATGAAGCTAGGTAATGTTGGATGCAAAGTACTGAGTGATGCTCAGCACAACAGAAACGTGGGCCACTACCAGCCATATTCTAGTATACAGTTAGGGGGCTGGAAAGATGATCTGGAATTCAGAAAATATAACTGCCTAGAAATGGATATTCAGGATTCCATGTAGCATAAACAGGAGTTGCAGCTATGTGAGCATCCAGGGAGTGAGCAGGCATACTGCGGCACCGAGCACAGCACCTAGAGGTAGGGGTTGAGCACTCAGTAAGTTATTTTATTGTAAAGGCCAGGACCCCAATGAGAGTACAGTGAGTAGGGCCTATAGGACATGAATGTACTTGCAGGCTCTGCAAAAGAGGTGTCCTTAAATGTCATGCTGTAGGTGCCTTGTAGATCTCACCCTACTCTCAACCTGGTGCAGACATATGAAGTGAAAAGGGAAGACTTGAGGACAGAGCCTCGGAGAACCTGGACATTTAAGGGTCAGGCAGAGGACAGGGAGTTAACTGGTTCAAGAGGTAGGTGGAGAATAAGGATTAGAGTAAAAACAAGAGTGAGAAGGGATAGGTTGCATGAAAGAGTTTCCTGAAAAAGGAGAGATCAACTATTAGAAATGTTTTAGAGCAGTCAGAAATACACAAGATCAAAATTGTCTTTTAGGAAGTCATCGTTGATTGTGACAATAATTTGTTTTATTTCGTGGGTCAGAATAAGGAAGGAAAAGAACTACAAAACTGCACTAAAGCGCTAAAGAGAATTGAAAGAATTAAGGAAGGAATAGGGGCCCACATGAAAGGAATGAGAAGAAAAAGAGATAAGCAGCATAAGCCTGTCCACACCTCACCTCACTGGTCTTGTCAACATAGCTAGGTAGTTCATCTTATTATGCTACTTTCGTGCTCATTTTACATTTGAGAAAATTAAGATTCATAGATTATGTGACTTGCCCAAGTTCACACCATCAATAAGGATTAGATATGTGACTCAAACCCAAGTCTGTCTGATCTGATTCTAAATTCTGGTTTTTCACGTGACCATGCTATAAATGGTTACAGATTTGGATGCTATTTAGGAGTGCCCAGGGCCCAGTAAATGAACTGCTGAGCAGAGAGAAGGACCTGAGGGAGCTGGGAGGCATCAGTACATGATGGCACCCTTGTGCAATTTGGTAATCTAACCCCTCTCTTCAGCTGCCTCCGAAGAGAAGCAAGATGGCAGATGACTGCACTGTTCTAGGGCTTGGAATTGCACGGAAGGCACAGATTGACAGTGGGTGAAGGGGATTTCCAAACAAACTAAGAGCAGGAGCAAAGGCTAGGCTAAATACTGGAGAAAAGTGAGCCCAAAGGGAACTTGCAGAGGGAGGATATCAAGGCACTAGAATGCTCCATAAAATGACCAGCTTCGATGAAAATAAGGTAATAAAGTTTCATTTCTTTCTCTCATTTCTCTTTCCTTGTGGAGTTAATGAGAAAGAAGTCCCAAAATCCCTAGAAAGTTCAACTTATAAGTACTTGTTCCTGCTGAGATGGCATAAGATGTACCTTGGCAAAAGGAAAAACCTCCAGGCAACTTCTTGAGTTCTTGTTATTAATGATATACATACCCACAGATATAAGGACCTGTATATGCATGCCTGTGTATACAGAAAGAGAGACAGAGACAGGCACAGAGACTGGGATGGGGAGCGAAGGCAGGTGAGGATTTCAATCCCCCAAATTGCTGGAGTGCCTCTACAACTGGACAGACACTGCTAAAATAAACCACACCCTGCCTGAATCCCTGAAAAGTGCATACATTGTTGGAATTCCTATTACACATAGCAACCAAAGGTATTATTTGTCTGAAGATTAAAAACATTAATGCAGCAGTTTTTCTTTAATATCCAGTGAGAGGCACTAGGGTCACATTTGCAGCTACACCAAAAGTGGAATTCTGTTCTTCAGGAGGCATGTGTTGCAAAGTCATTGGGCAACTACATCCTGCAAACACAATCCAGCCGGGGTGATGGATCACCTTGCAGGGATATGCAATGAGCTATTTTCAAGTGATGACAAAGTGTGAAGTTAACTGCTTATTTGAGAACTTTCTTTTTCATCCAAAGTAAATTCAAACACGATTGAAAATCTGACCTTTTCTTATTGGAGCTCTCCTGAATACATGTAAAATTGAATTTTAATTCCTAAATCTCTATCTGTATACAGTACTGTGAGAACGTCGCAGATTTTGGCTCCATGCCCCAAAGAGAAATTGGCTTTGGGATTACTTGGATTAAAAACAAAGCCTTGCTTAAGCGATGTATTTAATTTGCATTATGTTTTTCTTTTTTTAATTAAAGAATAGTTGTTTTAAATTTCAGTTTTTCTTGATCATGAAAATGCCACCAAAATTCTGAATCGGCCAAAGAGGTATAATTCAGGGAAATTGGAAGAAGTTATTCGAGGAAACCTTGAGAGAGAATGTTTGGAAGAACGGTGTAGTTTTGAAGAAGCAAGAGAAGTTTTTGAAAACACTGAAAAAACTGTGAGTATTTACACATCCTATCTTTCAGATGCAAAACAAAAGATAGAATATCTTTAAGAAAAGAGATAATTCTCCTTGGAATGTTAAACTACGGGTACATATATTTGCATTATAAATGGTATAAAAAAGAAGTCAACATCAAAACATTTTAAATGCTACCATTAATTTGCCCTTTGTGCTTTTTCTTTATAGACTGAATTTTGGAAGCAGTATGTCGGTAAGCAATTCATTTTATCCTGTAGCTGGTTGATATACCGAAACATTCAAGAGTTATGTTTTTTTCTTTATATAAACAGATAAGATATTAAAGTCTGTCAGAAGGTCTCAGAGAAATCCATCCAACTCTTGAACCCAAAATTGAATGTTGATATACTGCCAGTGTCGGAAGCATCAGCTGGCAGATGAGCTAACTCCTTCCTAGGGCTTCACAAAGAACATCGTGCCACCCCAGGAAGCTGGAAGACCCCAAAATGATTGCATCTTGGGACTAAATGAGAGTTTGCAATTTTTAGTAGACAATCACAGAACAATGACTGACAAATGTTTATTGCTGCAAACTCTTCCCTCTTATGATGGCCTACTAGATCCTCTTTAATCACCCTTGCCCCCCTTCCTATTGCCCACTCTGGGTCTCTTCTACTGCTCTTCTCTCTACGCATTGGGCTCCAGGAATGCCCACACTTTACAGCTTGTATCTGGCTGACTTTTCCCAGTTTGCCCTATGCTCACTCCCTCACCTCCTTCAGCTCTTGGCCCAAGTGGCCCCATCTCAATGAGGCCTCCCTAGATCATCTGTTAATATTCCAACCTATCCCCCAGGACCCTCCACTACTCTAGATACCCTTAACTTGCTCTGTTTTAATTGGTTATCCCTAATTTGAAATGCTTGGAACAGGGAGTATTTCAGATTTAAGGATTTTATTTCTCAGATTCTTCAATATTTACATAATCCAATAAGATGTCTTAGGGATGGGACCCAAGTCTGGACATAAGATTCATTTATGTTTCATAGTTCATGTGCATAACTCAAGAGTAACTTCATACAATATTTTTGATAATTTTGTGCATGAAACCAAATTTCATGGTATGGAATGTTCCACTTGTGATGTCAGTGCTCAACGTTTTGGATTTTGGAACAATTTGTATTTTGGACTTTATTAGAGATGCTAAAATTTTAGCACTCATCTAATATATCATAGCATTTCTCTTACACAATTTAGAGTTGATTTTTCCCACATGACTAAAATGCAGGCTCCATTTTCCCAGGGAATAGATTATTTCCTTTCTTGGTAGATTCCTGGCACCTGAAACAGTATCTGAAACAGGGGTACTTAGTAAATATGTGTCCAACGAGTTGACCAAAAGGAAGTAAAGTCATACTTTAATGACAACTAATTTTAAAACTAATTTGAAATCTAGCAATAGGATTTTGAGGGAAGTTTCACAGGCTACCATACCTAAGACCATCTGCAAGGATGAAACTAACCTGGATACCAAATTCACTGAGTTCCATCAGTTTGAGGTCCAACTCTATTTCCTACAGCTCCTATTCTGGAGACACTGTTAGACATTCTCATATCCTTATAACTCACAATTTTTCCACCTTTGTTTTTAAGCCATAAGAGAAAAATAGGTTCACTCCAGTATATTGCTTTATCTACATTTCCTTATGTTTACAGATGAATGCTACCATGCCCCATGCTCATTTCTACTTGACCCTTAAAATTCATCCAGACAAGTTTTACCCCATTGTCTATCGCTACTGAATTAAAACTTTGAGTCTTATCACTTATTTTTTTAAAAGCAAATCAACATCTACCTTTCCAAATATAATAATCCTGGATTATTTAAACTTTTTTTATGGTCCCTTCATTTCCTACCTTCCATGTATCCCAACCCTAGCAGTGCATTGTACGCTTGGCCCCTTCCTTAGAAATCATACAGATGCATCATTTGCTATACTTTGGGCATAGATACCTGGGAAACATCAAGGGAGCACTTCAGACACTGCTACCTTGTTTATAAAAAAAAAGGAACAAGAGCAATAACACAAAAGAAACACAGTCTAATGCCTCATTTCACTTGTAGTAAAGATTCCTAACCATCATAAAAGTGGCCCATGCTATTTTTCACACAGCGATCAGAGGCCCAGTCTGCTCACTACTGGCCTATTTGTTACCACTAACTCACCATGCAAAGAGCCTGGCTGGCTGAGGAATAATCACCTAACCACATTACCTTGTATCTGTCAGCACTTTTCAGGGTGCTGTTTACAGAAGAAGCTTGTAGAATGCCTATTACACTAAATCCTCATACCATCCTTGTGAGCAAAGCATTATGAATTCCTTTTTGCATAGAAGGAAACTGAAACTTAGTGAGATTAAGGAACTTGCTCAAGGCCAGTCAGCTGGGGAGTGAAGCCCCAAAGAGAACCCCAGTTCTCCACTGCCCAACCCCATTCTTTCACTATTCCACCTTATTGCCTTCAAATCTAAACAGGGTTGCTTATTAAACAAGAACCTAGAGGTTTTAAACAGGATTCCCTCACTTGACAAGGTCTTGTCCCTTGTTATCTTAGACCCATACTTACCATGGTTTTGTCTCAGCCCAAAGTACACTCAGACAAGAACCCAAAGGAGGAGTAAAGGCAGGGTAAAATGACACTCATTTTAAAGATATGTTTTAGCAAATGAGTTCCTGTGTAGCTGGCTGCAAGCCCAGACCCTTCAGTGAAACATCCTAAATAATTCAGAATTGTTGATATATAATACAAAATGCAAATGTAGCTTGGGTTTTTTGTTTGTTTGTTTTGTTTTGTTTTTTTGTTTTTTGGTAGATTTTTTTTTTTTTTTTTTTTTTTTTTGGTAAGGGAGATCAAACTCTGGACCTTGCACTTGCTAGCCAGGCAGCAGTGCCACTGAGCTAAATCCCTGGCTCTATGTAGCTCATTTTTTAGACCAGCTCTGAACATCAATAATAATAAACCAGAGATAACATATTTTGTTTTCACAGAAGTGGAACAAATTAAAGTATCTGTGTAAAAGCACATTGGATCAAGGGGCAAAGGGGAGGAGGTCTAATTTTTACAGCAAGCAAATTTTCCACAGAGAGACTGTTTCTGAGAAAGGGATATTAGTCTCTTAGTCAATAGAGCTTGGATACATGCTGCTGGCAAAGAGGAAGGACAGCCAGGCATATACACACTAGATGTCAAGAAGCTTTCCTTTAAAGTAAGAAAAATAATTAGAAACTATCCTTTGGTTTCCCTTTTTCTCTTTCTTTGATTCTTACTGCTATTTTTATCTCTTGTCTTTCTCGCATATTGAGTCTTACTTAAAATAAGAGCCATTTCTACTTCAGGGCTGTTTTTCAAAGTGTGTACCACTCTCCCTTCCATTTGTATTGGTTCTTTTCTCCTGAAGCTTTCTTAGAAGGCAGAGCACTAAGAAAACAGACTTAGAGAGTCTCTTCTCACCCTGATCCTTCTGCTCTTGCCTATTCCTTCCTCTTCTTTTCATACTACCGGTGTCTTCACAGACTTTCAGGACCTCTGTAAATGTTGAACCTTCAGAAAAGACAGAATGAAAGTGAACAATCTATACATAAATAAAGCACACCACAGAAGTTTTAAATTACTTATGGTCTACTGAACATTATGTCTCTCTTTACCTAGACCATTTGAAACATAAATTGCAGACAAGAGACTATCTGTAAGCAATAACACATTCCTCTGGCATCTTTTCTATTGTCTTGAATCTTTACAGCACATGACACTTAAACATTAAATGACAAAACATAGAAGTACATCCATTTGTTCCACGTTCAGGCCACCAGTTACTTGAGTGGAAGCATCATTTATTTTCTAGCTCAGGTTGCTCTGCAAGACCTGCAATAAAGCAGGTCCATCTTGGTTCTTCTTTTTTCCCCCATTCCCCAGCCCTCTCTTTACCCCCTCCACCCTTCCCTGTTTACAAAGACTTTGTTTCCATGTTTTTCCTTTTCTCATATTTTTTCTTTTCCCTTCTTACCTCTCCCCTACCCCCCCACTTCCCCGACTCCTTTAGCCCTTTTCTTCCTAATTCACATTATCAATTACACAATTTGAACCTTATTTATACTTTTAGTTTATTGACCTTATTGACCGAAACTCAGGAAGACAGGGCATCACTTGCCTATAGGCAGCTGGCTTCCAGGTCGGTAGTTCTGTTCTGACCTTAAAATCAGATTCCCATTCCCCATAACTCTATGCAAGAGAAGATTGGCCTTCTGAGCAATTTATTTGATTATTCACTTTCCTAACCTCTCTCAAAGATGGAGATCAGTGTGAGTCCAATCCATGTTTAAATGGTGGCAGTTGCAAGGATGACATTAATGCCTATGAATGTTGGTGTCCACTTGGATTTGAAGGGCAGAATTGTGAATTAGGTAAGCAACTACTTTTTCTTTTTTTATTATTTCTTTTTCAAGGCTTTTCTGAAAACAGATGAAACTGGAAAATGCAACTTTTATGTATCATAAGTATCTCTTGAAAATGTACTTTCAAAGCTTGTAAACGTTCAATTTACCTGTAGTCATAGTTTTCAGAATAGACTTCGAGAAGCTATATGAAGAGCTATAACAACATTTGATAGTAATATTAAGTGTTTCCATTGCTACACTTGCTTTTCTTTTTAATCCTTAGTACAGCCATATAGGGTCAGTAACATTATTATTCCTATTTATGTACATGAAAAACCTGCAGCTTCAGAACTCAAAATCATAAATGGCTGAGCCAGGGCTTGAATTCCAGGTTGACAAAAACCCATGCTCCTAACAACTAGACTGAAAACTCTGAGGAAAAACTAACCCCTAAAATTGTTTGAAACTGTGACTAAATTGCTATCAACCTAGGCAGTGGAAGTCAATTTCATATAGAACTGGAATATGACAGGTCAATTATCCCATACAATAGGAACACACATACAAATCACCTCACATGTTAAATTTATTGGCAAAGATCAGAGGTCATTCTTGAATTTAACTTTATTGGTTATGTCAAGAAAAGTAATACAACAAGTCTAGGATTATTGCATATCTTTTATTCTCATAGCCTAGGATGTTTTGGGGTTTTTTAGTAAATGGAGCATCAAACCACCAGTGTCCTTCACTTACTTGATTATTACCTCTGCATGCAATACTAATGGTATTGTGACTGTGACAAACACACAGTGCTAAGAAAGGACTGTCTTTCTACTCTGAAACTCTAGAAGAATAGAGATGCAATCCAGGGAATGAATTGAGCACCATAGGCTACATGACTAAGGATAAAGAGTTGAAAATTAGCAGGACACTCTTAAAATAGCCTTCCCCCTGACAGATGAAAAAGACACAAAATGAAATGAAATGTAGCAGCCACAGTTGTCCTATTGAGAAAGGAAAAAAGTCACCTGTAATGTTCAGAAATCCTTTCAGTACTAAAGGGAAATTCATTGATCATCTTCCTTTGAGATCTAAATTATCTTAGAAGAAAATGAAAAAGGGACAGTACAAAAGCATTCAAAAAGGAAAAAAAAAAGCACAATGAATGCAGCTGGATGAACTAGTATCCTTGGGTTGGACTCCCATTCCCTTAGATTTCCTAGTGGGGCAACAAACCAATGCCTACATTACCTTTTCTGTGGGTGTTTTAATTGATTCAACATCTCTAAAGTGCTATTTTCATTTGAAAGGTGGTAATTTCAAATTCAGATTTATCTAGATAAATTTGATCCCGCTATTATGAAAACCTACATGAATCTTTGGTGTAGTTACTTATTATCAATTTAAATAATATAGCTATTGGAGATGAGGGAATGAATAGCTCATTTAGTCTCATTTACAACTGAAGGGCACATTGTACTAAACTGTCATTGAAAAAAATAAATGTCTTTATCTAGTTTTAAAAATATCGATATTTTAAGGGAATGAAGACTGTAATCTTAAGGAATGGAAATATAAGCACAGAACTTCTGTAATAGGGTTAAGTACAGGGTGAAGTTATGGTTCACAGTGAAAAAAATGCTAAGACTACACCTAGCACCAGCTCAATACTTTAGGGTTCCCACATTTCTGTTTGGTCAGGACTCTGCAGAAGCGCTGCAGCGACCATCACACTTGGCCTCTAGGGTATATTGATCCCACCCAAGCAATCTGATCAAGGTTTAGACAAATCCTTTCAACTCCATTAGTGCAGAAACAAAACAGAAATTCTCTCAAAATGCCCTTTATCTCAGGCACTGGAGGAAAGCAACACCAAAAGCATATACAAGCTCCCATTTAAGCCTGTTACCTTCAACTAAACTAAAGACTAAGCTCAAAAGCCACTAGATAACACAGTTTATAGAGTATCTTGGTCCCAAGTCTCTTGCTTTACCGTGTCATAGAAAATGAATGTAGACTTCCATTGATGAGATCCCTTTGTTTTCTTTTTCCTTTGATCATTAGGCTCTTCATGAAGTGGGAGAGGTACAAACAGTCATGGCATGCTTTCTACTTAGAATAATAACAATTAATTGGCTACTGGGTGCCTATAGCTAGAATAAAGACCCCTTTATGTCCCCAGCTACACATCAAATCCAAATGGCTTTCAAATAAATCAAGGCCTGTAAGAATATCATCATCATCACCATTCCTTGTAAAGAAAACATGAAGCATTTCCACACAGTAAGATAGAATAGAAAGAAAAAAAAATCACAAGATATAAATACTCATTTTAAATTTTTTTCAGCACATCAGAAACATTGCTATCTTATTTTCTATGTGTCTCTGTGCAGGGAAAAATTTGAGTTTAGTTGAATAAGAGCCCATTTTACAGCAAACTTGTTAAACAGAACATTTTTTGTTCAAGCTTTGGTTGGCACATCAATGGATGTATCATGGAAGATGATCACAGAGCAAAATAAAGCAGAATATGATAACTTTTGTAAGTAGGTATGAAGAGAATTAGAAATAGTATTTGTGCTAACACAAAGGGAGAAGATCAAATGCTTTAATGCGTTCTTTAACATAAATTCTAAGCACTAAACCAGCCTCAGGACCAGGGAGAACCCATGCCTAACACAGTGTGTGACATCTAAATACTCCATAGTTGATAAATGAGTCCAATTCTGACAGCTTCTTAGGTCGTGATCCAATGGCCTCTTCCTGGAATTTCTTAAGGTATTATTCTATTTCTTGACTCTTAGGCCTTTTTGCCTGAGGGTGAAAATTGCTGATTAGGCAGCAATGTATCCACCAGATGCACAAATCAAGTCAAAAATCAAGAGCAGCAGCAACACACTGGATCACTGAAAGCAATGAGAAATGAGGGAAATGATCAAGAGGTCTGATTGCTTAACCATGGTTTCAGAATGAGAATTGGGAAAACCACACCAAGTTTCCTCATTTCTACTGTTTATGCACTGGATAAAACCAGGATTCTCCCATTACCCACCTCTGTCAATGGACTGTGATCTCCTATTGACTGAACACTTTCTCAAGGTGGTATTTGATTTGGCAGAACATTTTGGTATTAGTTTATAGCAACAGTATGATAGCTAGTAGCATTAAAATAGTCAGGGATGTTATCGCCATTCAATATGAGAAAGTTCGTAACAAGTTAGCAAAGAAAAAAAGACCAAGCACCATCTTTTTGGATCATGCATTTAGTGAATTTTTGCTAGCAAAGATTAAAGCTCATGTTGGTTCCTTTTTTCACCCAATAAGAGTTGTTTTGCATCTCCTTATTTCCAGAGCTATTGGTAAGGATTATGGGCTTAATTATTAAATTAGCTTATGGTTTCATATGCAAAGTAGAATTACAAAATTTCAGTTTGTCACTCAAAAATTCATGATATCCTCCAAAAGCATATAGTTACACTGTTAGCTTGAATTCCTCTAAAAAAAGAGCCTGTTGACACAAACCTAGAAGACAAGACTGAGACAGAAAAATGAGTTGAGTTGATGAAGAAAGGAAAACCAATAAAAGGAGGAATTATCAAACCACTTGCCTGTAACTGCAACTGATCTCTTGACCTCCTGGGACTGTCTTCAAGAAGCCAGTTGAACTGGTCTCAGGATAGTGGGCCTATGAGGCAAGAAGAGGTGAAAGAATTTGTCCATCAGCATCTGTCTTTCACTGTTCAAAAGTTCATCTGATGGGGAATTCACTGCTCATATTTACCACTTCACTCTTTAGTATCCAGAAAGTCATAGAACATCTCATGCCTCAGCATCAACATGGAAACCCAAGGCAAGTGAAAATATACATGGTACACGTATGAGCCAAGGTAATTCAGGGCTGCATTTTCCTAAGGTCGGTTCAAGTTAATGTCGAGCGGATCGGCACTAGAAAAAACCACAAGTATGTCCCACAGAAATAAAGGTTGCACATGGAATGTATCTAACAGAGTAACTCATTTTCAAACTTTCCGTGTTATAACTGCACTGACAACTGAGCATTTCTATTGAAAGTTGGACTGTATTTGAGTGTACAGGTAAGAGGAAGGTGTCTTACATGTATTTTATTCCTGTGCTGCTCTGCAGACAAAAATAGGCCCAAGGGCACAGCTTCTTTCTCCGAACTCAGCAGGTCTCAGCTAGCAAGCCCTGAATCATGCTATTTTCTGTTATAGAGATTGCATAGGAGGAACACAGAGAAAGCATAGTAATTAGAAAATACAAAATAACATGGCAGGAATAAGCTAACTATACCACAAATCACAATTAATGTGAAGTGGGGTTAAACTAATGTTTTAATGACAACTTTCAGTTTGGAGTTAAAATCTAATTTCATAGTGCTGACAAAGAGATACTTAAAATAAAATTACATAAGGAGGCTAAAATAAAAGGATGTAAAAAGAATTATCAGGTAAGTGCTGGCAAAAAGCAACTGGGAAAGCAAGCTGAGTATCAAACAAAATAGAATCTAAGATGAAAACCTTTACAAAAGACAAAGGAAGATATTTTATATTATTAAGGGAGACTACATAGGAGAGAAAAGAAAATGCAGGTCATTGGAGTGCTTAGCATTGTCAACACATAATGTTTTTAGCATTTAGCTACATAAAAGACCCTACCTCATTCTCTTATGTTTGATAAATATCTATTTCAGCCAGCTTCAGCTTGCTTTCAGCCCCTATGGCCTGTACAACACTACAATTTCTAGGGTTCTCCAGATTCTATTTCTGGAAATTACTTGTTAAATTGGTTAGCTCTGGAAAACAAGCAACTTCTAGGATAACTAAGCAACTGAGACTACTATATTTTGGTTCAAAGGGGTAGTATCTGCATGAAGTTATGGGGTTGTTGCTGCTTTTCTTGTTCACTGAAAGACATATGAAAAATATAACATTCAGAAAAATGATTGTATGTAGAGAAAACCCAAAGAACCTAAACAATTAGAATAAATGAATACTTATATAAAGGCTATAGGATACAAAATGAACATACAAATATTAATTATGTACCTCTGCACCCAAAATTAAAGAAAATAAGTTTTATAATAGAATAAAATATAAATGTTTAGGAATAAAAATAAGAAAGATGTAGACAAATTCTACATAAGAAACTGCAAAGCATTATTAAGAAAAATTAAAGAAGACCTAAATAAATGAATGGGTAGTCTATTTTCATGGATCAATGGTTACAATATAGTGAATCAATTATTCCTTAATAAACTGGGTGTGGTAGTGTACTCCTATAATACCAGTACTCAAGAGGTTGAGGCAGGAGGATGGCCCTGAGTTCAAGGCCAGCCTGGGCTACACAGTGAGACCTGTCTCAAAAATATAGATGTGTGTGTGTGTGTGTGTGTGCGTGTGTGTGTTTCCTAATAGATTCAGTACAATGACAGTCAAAACTGTCAGCAGGCTTTTTATTTGATATATATGGGAGGTAGTGTTGAGAAATTAATTCTAAAATATTCATATATGAAAATGCAAAGGGCCAAGGATAGCCAAGACAATTTCAAGGAAGAATAAAATTGGAGTGCTTTCACTATCAAAAACCAAGATATATAGCAATATATCAATTAAGATAGTGTGGTATTGAAACAAGGGTAGAGCTGGGCATGGTGGCCCACACCTTTAATCCCAGCACTCTGGAGGATGAGACAGGAGAATCGCTGTGAGTTCAAGACCAGCCTGGGCTACATAGTGAGTTCCAGGTCAGTCTCATTTACATAGTGAGACCCTGTCTCACAAAAACAAAACAAAACAAAAAAATAAATAAATAAAAAGAAAGAAAGAAAGAAACAAGGATAGACAAATAGATCAATGAAACACAGAAAGTCCAGGAGCATACATGCACATGAAAAATGTCTTAATTATTTCCCTTATTGTTGGGACAATACACTTGACACCCACGATTTAGGGAAGAAGAGGTTTATTTTGACTCACAGTTTGTAAACATTTCAATCTATAGTCAGTGGGCTCAAAGGCAGAAAGATATAGTGGGAGGGATTGGGCAGAGGAAAGCTGCTTACTTCATGGCATCCAGGAAGCAGAAAGGTCAAGGGAGGAGCCAGGAAGACAGATACACCCTTGGTCATAGGCACGGTGACCTCACTCTTGCAACCAGACCCCACCTCCTAACAGCAAGTCAGCCATTCCTCTTCCATAATCCCATCACCTTTCCAAAGCTCCGACTTTGAACTTAAGAAATTTTGAGGGGGCATTCATATATAAACCATTACACAAAGAGACTTGATTTAATGACAAGAGGAGCAACTGCAGTGAAGAAGAGAATCACTGATGTTTTCAATAAATAAACTGTGTACACATTAGGGAAAATATATCTGTATCCCTACCTCACCAAATATAATCAAATCCAAGTGGAATAAGGATCTAAGTATGAAATACAAAACAATAACATTGTATAGTTATGACCTAGGGATAAACAAAAACTCTTATGCTTGCAATGTTTGGGATTGAACCCAGAGTTTCACACTTGTTAGGCAAATATTGTACCACTGAGCTACATCCCAGGCCCTTTTTCTCTTATTTTGAAATGCATCTCAGTTCCCTAGTGTGGGCTCAAATTTGCAATCCTTCTGCCTCAGCCTTCCAAAACATTGGGATTACAGGCAGGTATCACTATGCCCGGCTGCAAAAATCTCCTAAACAGAATGTAAAAAGTACTTGACACAAAGAAAATGATCATTAAACTTGACAATATTACAGTGTAGAACTTCTGTTCAGAAAAAGACAATATTTAGAGAGTATATATATAAAATCATATATATAATCTGAGAGTGTCCTCTCATGCTTTGATGGGAGGTGGGAATTTAAATTTGTACTATCATTTCAGAAAATTGCTTGGCAGTATCTACTAGACTTAAAAGTATGTTCCAACAATTCAACTAACAGGTAGAAATCCAGTAAAAAATGCATGCTTGTGTTATCAAAAGGTATGTAAAAGAATGTTCATTACAGCATTATACATAGGAGCCAAAAACTGACAGCAACCCAAATATGGATTAATAGAGTGGCTGAGTGTAAGCTTGCAGTATCACTACAGTGGAATACTACACAGGCATGTAAATGAATTACTGCTATACAAAACCCACATAGATGAGTTTCGCAGACAAAAGGTTAAATGAAAGACACAGATGAATATATATTGTGAGCTTCTATTTACACGAAGTTGTGTCTGTTCACTGTGTCAAGGTCAGGTAATGGTAATCTGTGATGAGAAAGGTTACAGTGAGAGGGAGCATTAGGAGAGCTCCTGGGATTTTGATAATATCTTGAGTATTGATCTGTGCAGTGTTTAAATACACACATTCACAGACATTCCTTGTTTAAGGACCAAGTTCCATTCCAGCGACTAGGTCATTAAATGAACTGGTTGCTCAAGAAGAAATTGTATATAGTATGCATACTACAATACTCAGAACAAAGAAATTCTTGAAGGAAACTGCAACTTGGTGACTTTGCTTTCATTTTCCCAACAATTACATACAGTACTGTGATGTATGACAGAACATAAAACTCTAGTATGGTATTGTACAGTATAATCATCAAAAATTACAGTACTATATCATTAAGGTATACTGTACCGAAAAAAGACATTGAGGTTCTATAAACAAGATTTACAGAACTGTGCCGAGAAAAAGATAGGTCATAAGTCCATGCAGTGGGTTATAAGTTCGAACAGTGTGCGTTGGTCATAAGTCGAACAGTCATTAAAGGGGTAGATCATTAAAGGAGGAATGCCTGTAGCTTCGTAAAAACCCATGGAAATCTAATTTTGCTATACTTCAATAAACACGTTTTAAATTCAGCCCATGTTTTAGTGAAAGTACAATGTCCAATCCTTTAGTTTTAAGCCGAATCCATATATTCCTCTTACTACTTTTACTGAGAATTTGATTTTACCCTTTCTACCCTTAGCTCAAGGCCCTAAGTCTCTCACCATGAATGCACCAAGCTTATATTTGATCCACACATGAGTCAGTAGTTCCACTTATTTTCTTAGAAATTCATGTTAAAGTATGATATGACTGTTGATTTGACTTTCTTTCAGGTGCAACCTGTGGCATTAAGAATGGCAGATGCAAGCAGTTTTGTGAAAGGGATGCTAATAACAAGGTGGTTTGTTCCTGTACTGAGGGATACCAACTTGCAGAAGACCAAAAGTCTTGTGAGCCAGCAGGTCAAAATCTCAATACATTTTTAAAGAATATCTATATTTGAAATTTTAGCACTTTGCCTATTTTTAATCCATGTTTGTATTACTTCCTTTTGAAATGAAACAAAAGATCAGTATCCCGAAATAGGTGAATCCATTTGCCAAATCATATCATCATTTTAAACACAAAGTCTGGTAATTGTCTACAGCCTGAATTCTTTTCTATGTCCGATTACTTACATGAACTTTTACATCACAAAGCAATTGATTTGTGTGATTTCTATGCATAATATTGGATATTCATCCAGTCAAATGAATACAGTAATAGAGTATTTATCATAAAAGCACACAAATAATTGACTTAGTCATAGGTTTCTAGTATAAAGATGGTGAATTTTAAGCATAAATCTGTTAGGGCCTGGCTGGTTTATGCTAAGAAAGTTATTTTCTGACGTTGGGTCTCCAGCTGAGCTTATATCGTTGCTGTCAGAATGATTCTAGCGAGCAAGCACTGTTTAAGTTCTGCTAGGCTGATCAGTATAGTACAGAGGAATAGAGAAAGCAAGATTTTTCAGCCATGGTGACCATGCCACGATGTAGACAGCTGTTTGGCGTATTCAGAACATCCGCTCCACACTCACATTACGCTTCACAGAAGTCAAAATTTGATTCTTAAAAAATAGGCTCTCCAGGATCAATTATATTTGATAAGTGAGGGACCTTTTTGAAACGAGCTAAATATAATTCATCTGTATTTCCAAAGCCAAAGGTACATTGAATTATGCACTGTTCCTCTGTAACTGTGTTCGATACCTATCTCAGCAATGCACAAGGCAGAGGAAATTAAAGTAAGGCCATGAAACCAAGATTAAACATGCTGTAACTAAAATGAAGAGTTTAATGTTCAGGGCTGGCCCAGCTGTCCTTCTACCTGCTTTTGAACATACATAAAGCTAGCATACCTTGGGAGGAGGATGCACATGTGTGTGTGCATACACATGTGTGTATGCATTTAACTTTTAAAAGCTAACTTCCGGTGCTGGCAAATGGCTTAATAGCTAAGCCCTTACAAGCCTTTCTGTAAGAGAGGAAAACAATGGAGAGTCACCTCCAACTCTGTGAAGTGTCATGTGTCAATACAGTGTAGCCTTAGCTTTAGCAGAATAAGTAGGCCAAACCTAAAATAAACTTTGCTACCTTTTCAAAGATAATGGTCTCTTTCCTCTAGCCATTGTTGATCATGTATATTTAGACACAAGTATTTGGAACCAATTTCCTGTTTTCTCAGTTGCATGCAGCCTTCACGATACTTTGCTGCAACTGATTGCTGTAGAAATGTCTGTTATAAGGAATGTAGCTAGGACAAGTGACTTTGTTTGGCTAAAAATTTCAATTCTGGGATTCTCCAATGTATCAGTAAAAAAATTTTTTAAGGAAATAAACCAACCCCAGAAAAAAGTGGTCAGGTCCCACGTAAATATGGCCCTGATTGTCACATTGCTAACGTATTTGGTTAATATTTGACAGCCAAGTAATTGAATCACAGTGCTGTTTCTTAACCAAACACTGAAAATTTACCTTGAAATCTACAGGGGCCTAGTCTACAAAGGAAATCCCATTAAAGATAAGCATTCGAAGTCCCATTTGCCAACTTCTAAAGCTAAAGTTACATGGCACCAATCACCAGACTTCCATTCAAGGCTGGCACTTGGAAGGAGACTTTAGTAAATAAACTAAACACAAGGTCATTAGGCTCTACAAATGTCTATAAAAATGGATGCACCTTGAACCATAATGTTCAATAAAATAAATCAGACACACATGCTTAACTATTGTACTGTTTCTCTCTTATATGAAAAACCAAAGCATAAATAAATTAAAGAGCAAAATAAAAAGAGAGAAAGTAGAAAACAGGTGAATAGATCTTTAGCAAAAGTGAAGGGGATAGAGAGATGGGGGAAGGTAGAGGGGAAGGTAAGGGGATGTAAAAAGAATGAAGATGTGTCATGTACATGTATCAGCTGCTCACAAAGAATGTAATTATCACATATCACAAATGTACACTAATAAAACTTTTCAAAGTCTTACCAGATTTGATCCAAAATATCTATATTTGCACAGATGGCGGATTTCTTAGCCAAATGTTTTTTCCAAGAAATCTTTGAAAACCTTCCATGAAAATACTGCAATCAACCTTTTCTTTTAATACTATGTTCACTGACTAAATTGTTTTTTTTGGGGGGGTACCAGGGATCAAACTCAGGACCTTGAGCTTGTGAGGCAGGTGTAGTGCCTTTGAGCTAAATCCCCAGCCCTTCACTGATGAGATTTTAAAAAATATTGATGGGCATGTTTCTCAGAAATGACAGGGATGGGCCTCATTCTCAATTTTTGTAATCCGTGTTCTGTTTGCCATTAAGAAAGATTGGAATGCTAATTGTTTTGTCTATTTTTCTAGTGCCATTTCCATGTGGAAAAGTTTCTGTTCCACACGAGTCTAAGAAGCTCACCCGTGCTGAGTCTATTTTTTCTGATATGGACTACGAAAATTATACTGAGGCTGAAATCATTTGGGATAACATCACGGAAAGCACTGAGCAAACTGATGACGTCACTCGGGTTGTTGGTGGAAAAAATGCCAAACCAGGTCAATTCCCTTGGCAGGTACTCAACACTGATAGTGTGTCAAAACTGGAGCTTAGCCGGTAAAACAGGCCAAATACATAGGAGAGTGAAGCTAGGATGCGAGAGAAGTATTTAGGGCACTTTCAGCACTGAGCAACATGATGAAGCCCCATAGGTGAGCACTGGAGAAAGATAGGTCCAAGGAAGCTACCATAGAAGGTGACAAAGAACCTGGCCTCAAGGTAAGAGTTAGCAAGATTCCAGACAAGCAATTGGTCAGCAATAGAAAGTAAGGTCACAGGTGCTGGAGTTTAAGGTGCTATCCCCGCTTCAACCCCTGGGGAAACTGATGAAAATAAGAAAGCCTCTAGGCCCAGAGAAACTGGATTATCTTGAAGGGAGTCAAGAACTCACATGGGAAGAAATAAAACACGTATAGATTCCTCGAACCAGAGATTAAGATAAGGTCCTGATCCATCACTGTGGTTCTCAATGTATAGTATCATCAGAATCTCCTGGGAACTTTTTAGGAATGCAAATTCTCATAATCGTTAGAGGTAGAGCCCAGCAATCTGTACAAACAAGCCCTCCGGGTGATTCTGATGCACAGCACAATTTGAAAACTGGTTTGAAAGAAAGAAAAATCTAATTCAGAAGCCAGATTCAAAACACCAGAGGATGGACATGTCCTACCTAGTCTGCCAAGTGCGTTCTGTAGAGAACCTACGTACACAACGTTACGTATGCACAATTTGATGTAACACCAGGAGCTAGACTTGTAGAAAACCTGGCTTGTAAATGTGCCCACAGCTAAAGCCTAAATGATTCCATCTGTGAGAAGGAAAAAAGCACTCATTTTCCTATCTCAAGGCAAGGAGCCAGGCCAGTCCTTATGTAAAGTTGTGCTGTCCAATAAGATAAACTTTAGCCACAATTGGCTACTTGAATTAGCCACTTTTGAATAAAATTCAAAAGCAGTTCCACAACCACTCTTGCCATATTTTCAGGGCATAATAACTGCAACCAACCTGCTGGGTCCAAAGCAACGAGAGAAAGTAAGCAACAGCTGGTGTTCCAGTGGCTACCATATTTTGTATATATATCTGGCTCTGAAATACGAAATAGTATTTAGAAATGTCATTTAGAAAAAAGCACTTCAACCTGCTCATGCTTCATAAAAGCCTTTCTATTCAAAACAGATTCGTTTAACTTTCTAATTGGTGGTGAGGGATAAAAGTGATCACTCAGGTGAGGAAATCTGACAAAGAAGAGCATAGAGTTCACTTTCATCTGGAGTAATGAACAGTTTGGATGAACTGGAAATGTTTAGGTGAGCTGTCTGCAACAGCCACCGGGGAAAGGCGGAGGTAACTGTTTTCTTTGTGGACATCCAGGTGAAACTGGCAGACAGGCAGGCTGGCCGATTCTGGCCTCAATTTAAAAACTCCTTTGTAATCACTGGGTACTAGGCTTGGCAGCTTTGGGAGATAAAATTGGCTGAAGATACCAGGTGTGACCAAAATACACCTAAATTTTAAAAATGTCTAAATTTTAAAAATGCATTACATGAAAGACACCTTGCCATTAACCCCCCTCTAAATATTCCCCCTTGCTTTGAACACAGTTGTCCCATCATTCTTGCCACATTCTGAGGCAGTTTGGGAAGATCTCTTTCATAAGTGTCTTAGTTACATCGTCCTGGCTGTCTCAGTGACCTAAATTGATTCAAAACGTTGACCTTTCATGGTCATTTTGACTTCTGTGAAGAGCCAGAAGATGCATGGTGACAGATCCAGTGACTAAGGTGGATGAGGACACACTTTGACATTCTTCCAAGCCTGCCTATCCTTTGGATGGCACTCAGCAGCACCATTCACTGTATTTTTTAATCATACTTCATAAAGACACAAAAGAGGACTTCTAGAACTTCTTCAAAAAGTGGCAAGTGGCAGGCATTTGTCTATGAATGTTTCAAGTTTTTTTTTTTTTTTTGGTACCAGGGATTGAACTCAGGTCCTTGTGATTGCAAGGCAGGCTGCAGCACCACTGAGCTAAATCCCCAGCCCTCAAGTTATCTCTCTTTATGGCTGAGTAGTACTCCATTGTGAATAAATACATTTGCTTTATCCATTCATCTGTTGACGGACATATACACTGTTTCCAAGATCTAGCTATTATAAATTGTGCTTCTGTAAACACGGGCAGGCATGTAGCACAGTAATGTGATGACTAACTCTTTTGTCAACAGACCTAGAAGGGGCATTCATGGGCAACTCAAAATACGTATATAAGGCAAAATAGAAGACAGATAAACAGCAAGTAGGCAGATGTTCAAATAATCCCAAATTATTCTGTTGTTTAAAAGTATTCTGCATATGCTAATTTGTTTCATATATACTACTAGTTCCTCTATTCAATGAATAGAAAATTTTGTCCTTTTATCCGTTTCTTTTTTCTAGTAGAGTCTTTTTTTTAATCTATGACTTGAGTAACGCACCAGTCATTCTTTTAAGATCAGCATATATAGTACATTAACTATTATTATTTTCTAATTATTTTGTTATGAAACTTTGTTTCATTTTTCTTAGACGAGTGCTTTTTATATTTTTATTAGCATCTACTTACGTTACATTCAAATAAAAAAGAAAGTAGCAAGTATGATGGGATAAGTGTGTTCAAAGAGAGGGGCAGTATTTTGAGGGTGTTGATGGCAATGTGACTTTTACCTGCAATAAATTGTTTTATGTAGACTTTCACCAAATGTTTTGATGTGGCGTTGTTGGCTGGAAGAACTATGTTGTCACTGGGGACAGAAGTGACTAGATAGTCACTGCAGAGAACGGAGAGGGCACTCCTTCATCTGGTGAGGGAGTAAAGTACGTTAGGGGACTCGGGGATCCTGTCTGGTTTTGAGACTTTCGCGTTGCCCTGGGCGGTCGCTCTCATTTCTTACCTCAGTCTCGGGTTCTGCCTCAGCTTGCCTGGCTGGAGCAAGGCCCAGTGTAGCCGAGCCAAGCTTGAAAATCCCTGTGCACCCTTATGACCAAAGGAGCCTGCGGGTAAGTGGGCCGGTTTAGAAGGCCTGAGACTCCAGTAAATTGGTGGGGAAGGAGGGTCAATTGGAGGAAGTATTTCCTTAAATTTCCCTCCAGAACCACAGTGGTAGCCTCAGGGCACCTTGAGCACTCCAGGAAAAGAAACAGGGACTCTGCAGAAGAGAGGAAGCTAGAGGGTCACTGTATCTAGTAGAGTGGGGAACTGAAACAAGGCTTGAATTTCATACTGTATAGGGAAGAAACAGCCTTTGAATGTTACAGAAAAAGGGGGACATCTCAATGCCTATTGTATTAAAAGGTTCTCGTGAACAGCGCAAAACTGAGAGATTTGAGAAAGTAACATTATATCTCTGCTGTTTAAAACTTTAAATTGGTTTTAGTTCCATGTCCCTGACCATGCCGTCAATTCTGAGCATGCGCAAACTGACCTTCACGCTAACTCCTCCCACATTTTCTGCTTTAGGTTAGGCTCTGTGTAGCCCTGCATGTGAAGTACTTGATCTTTCTGTTTTCTGTTTTACTATGGGCTACAGAACTAAGGTTCTGTACGAGACAGGTTTATCCCACATTTAATAATCTAAAGATCATTCTACCAGATTGTAAAAAGTAATACGAAGGAAACCAAGTGATTTATCTTTCCTTATCCTTATAGTAAGCTGTGCCATGTGCATTTACCACTATTTAACCATTTCAATTGACGGAAAATGTCTAGAGAAGGGATCTGTCCATTCTTTATTCTATTCTTGGCCTAAATCTTTAAACTATCTTAACATTTTCCCCAGTCTCTGTAGCCCTCAGCTTTGGCCTGGAGCTATGCTTTAGGTTATCTGAGCTTCTGCCCTGTACTGTTAGCTACACAGATCGGGTTCTTCCCATTCAATTAGGACACAACTCAATGGCAGACAACAGGCAAAGTTACCAAATGTGGGAACCAGGGAGCTTTCTTTTCTGAGGGGTGAGGAGGATATTACCTGAAAATCTTAAGATTATAGAAATATCTTCATTTTTTAAAAAAAAAGAGATAATTTTCTGTTATTCCTGACAGATGTTAACATTCCAATTAGAATAGTAACATACGTAATCTCTCACCTAGTTCAGCCCCCCAAAGCTAGTTCAGACTGCACAGTTAGACTACTGTCCTCTAAGATCACTTGAGGAAATCTATTTCAATGACTAGTTAACCATTAGAAACCAAAGTGAGGGTCCCCTTTCTGACCTGCCAAATGACCTAGGGTCATGGACTGGGAAAACCACATCTGTGGGCATAGCAAGCTGTACATCATGTAGAAAAGGTTTTACTTTATGTATAAGAGAAAAAACACAGAAAAAGTGTTACTGGAAAAGTGAGGTGGATGGGGGACAGACTAATCTTACTGAAATCACAGGGAAAGGGTAGGATGGAGTTGAAGGCTGCAAAGAGAACAACAGGGAAACAGCCGTTGCTCTGGGCTGGCATTGTCATAAAAGAGAAATGATACAGATGCATATTTTATAGGTGAAGGTATGTCTGATGTGTGTCTATACACGCATGTCATAGACTAAGGAAGACAGGCTCCTATTAGGCTGTGGCAGTCATGAAGATGTTTGACAGATCAGAACTCGGATGCCTTGCTCGAAACATATGCTTTCCCGTTTTCCTCATCATTCTCTGAAGTTATGTCCTACAAGACCTTGTCCTTAGCCAAGCAGATGGAGCATTCCCCAGATAGCTAATATTTAGATAGCAGTGATCCTGAAATTGCCAAGCAAACATTCCAAGACTGCACCATTTGTAATATCTTTGAATGCAAATATATTTTAGGCCTTTTCTTGGCAAAGATGTTTGCTAAAATTTCTAATACCAATCAGGGATTGGCAAAGAGTGCTCTTCAGCCTTAAAAGAACACAACCATATTTCTTGGCCATCCACTGGAAAGCAATAGATGCTCCAGGCAGCAAGTCTTTGGCAGGAGACAGACAAACTGCACCATGGTCTCTGTGCCTGGGGGCTGTGGGTCTCATTCAGTCTGGCCTAACTAACCCACTAAGCTAGGAGACATTCAGTGTCCCCAGGAAACTTCAGTTAGGGGAAAAGCAACATGTTATTGTGTATGAATTCTTAATTCCACTTGCTTAAACAGATGCATTCAATTGTAATCACCTAGGGTCAGTACAGAATCACATTCCTCAAATTGGCTTGGTGACAAAATTCACTTGGTGGTCAGGGTTAGCCACATGATCTTGTTACAAGTGCACTTGCACAGGGCACTGTAGTGAGAAGGATCCCATATTTAGGGTCCATTACTTTGCATTTGTGTTCTGTAAGTGAAGTGCAATGAGACAACAGAGCATGTGCTGGGGACTTGGAACCTTGCGTTACCACAGTCTCTCTTCTCGCCACCTCCTAGGGCTGGTCTCCTGACCTCCCTCCCACTTACCCCCACACACCCTGGTGCCTTATCCACCCTTACTTCTCCCTGTCCTCACCTGCACAATAACCACTGGTAACTCCCACCCCACAGTGCCCAGGCATACCCTGTCTTTGCCCAGGCATAACCACTTATTCTTGCAACCTCCTTCCCTGGTGAGGGCCAGGACTCAGGCACAAAAAGGATTGAGGCTAAGTATACATGCTCTGTGCTATTTGGGAAGAGGCATAGTCATGTGAAACCTCTGGACCAGGAATATACTACAATCCGTTTGAAGGGTGAATGTTGAGGGAGAGCCTCTTGTCAACCTCCCTTCCAGGTACTGAGCACATCCTGATATGGACATTGCAAACCCTTGGGAATCACCTCTCTACCTTGACTGCTGCAGTAGGCCAGTGGCAAGGGAAGATGGATTCTTCCTTCCCTGCTGGGACCCAGCCACCTCTGGATAGCAACAGGGGTCATAATAGTGTGTGTGGTAGACTCTAAGGTGCAGCCCCAGGGTGCCTATGAGGGTCTACCCTCTCCACGAAAATGCCCCCATGCCAAGGGAAAGCAACGTTAAATAGCAAGAGAGACCACAGAAGAAAGGGAAGAGTTTTGTAATTTAGTATCTTTGGTGGCATGTCTTCCCACTGGCTTTGAATAAAAGGCCTCACATTTTCATTTCTCACTGATCCTCACAAAGTAATGTAGCGAGCATGCAGTGAGCACTTTCATACATAAAGATTATCAAGTCTTGAGAATTCTGATTCAGTAGGTATATAACACTTTTCAAACTTAATTAAGCATATGAATATTCTGGAGAGCTTCATTTTCCACAGCCCCAGACACTAACTATTCTGATTAAGTCTGGATACACCCCCATATCTGCACTTTCCACACACCCCAAATGACTCTACTGCAATTGGTCTACACACCATACTTGGAGAGACACTGGATACCAAGAGGCACACGTAATGGAGTCAGGCAGGCTTGGTTTTGCAACCTGTCTTCACCACTATGTTAAGATGTTATCACTAAATCCTACTGGTAGTTTGCTCATCTGTGAATAGATATATTGATATCACTCCATAAAGATGTTTTCAGTGTTAGATGTATATAGATCACTACAGTTGTTGCCCCAAAGTAAACCCTCGGTAAATGTTAAAAAGAAATAGGAAGATTGTTAAATCTAGGTGGTAGACACACTGGTGTTTACTGTATAATTATGTGAGATTTTTCCATGTTTTTACAACTATTCAAAATAAACAGTGACAACTAGGCAGAGCCAGGAGAGCTAGAGTTTGCAAAAGGAGGTCAGAGGCCTATAAAGATTTGCCCCCCCCCCACCGTCTCCAAGTAAAAAGATAGTGCTTCGGGATCTAGGATAAGTAGGAGTTCAGTAAATTGAATTCAGATCAGAAGAATCTTCTGAGAAACACGCTTCAAGGGCCATCTGTGACCCACACGTAGAAGGACTGACCACACCCTTTTCCTTTTCTATGAATGAGTTTATGCCTAGGGCCACAGGTCCCTTGGTTAAAAAGCCATCAGTTTAGAGAGAGCTGGTGTGTTTCTGAAAGGGGTTTACTGAATGTTGAGTGTGCCCTCTAGTGTTCACACTTCTCAGCTTTCTTTCTAAAAATGTGGATCAAGAACAGCTATTGCTTCCATTAGAATTGAAATTCTCCACGTAGACATTGAGGTGGTGAAAATATTCATTGTCCTTTGCAACAGATGAAAGAATGAATTGGCCTCTTATCTAATATTGGCCAGGCTCAACACAAAACTCAAACACCTTTGTCCACTTGGCTCAAATATCAAGAACAGCTAAGGGGGTCTTTTACTACAAAGGCAGCTTCCATACCCAGCCAGGGAGGGTTGGAATATGATTAAGGGAGAGTGTGTGACCTGTACATCCTCCTGCTCCTCACTCCCTGGGTGGCTAATATCTACAGCCCTCATGGAGGGCTTAGATCTTGTTTCATAGTATTCCAGTTTGGAAGGAGCTTGAAAAGATTGCTGGAAAAATAAGCAGTCATTCTTTTTCTAATGACCTATAGCAGAGATTTCCTCACATAGGGACAGGAAACTCAGCAATAACTCCTCATCTTGAGGGGTTGAGTCAGTATGACCCTAACATACCTGCTGATCCCCATGAAGCCATTTGTGCCCTCAGAGAATCTGCCTCACCTGGAAAAGGGGAGCTAGAGCCCCCCGTCACCAAAAGGAGCCATTCCTCAGATCTGCCTCTGCTAGGACCCCTTCATTTCTCACTGCACATTCTCTCCAAGATGCTTGCAGAAATGACTTTTTGGTTTGTGCTAATTCATCCGCAAAGCTGACACTTTTCAGAAATCTTCCATTTGTGCCAACACCTCGTAGCCAACTGTTTGCCCACTCCTGTAAATAACACATGTATTTCTTTTCTTCTGGATTTGATATATTATGCAGTAAGAGGCTCAATTTTCTTTGCACAGGTCCTTTTGAATGGTGACATTGAAGCATTCTGTGGAGGTTCCATAGTTAATGAAAAATGGGTCATAACTGCTGCCCACTGTCTTCATCCTGGTATTAAAATTGAGGTTGTTGCAGGTAATTAAAAAGGATAAAAATCTGCACTGTCGCTAGATCTTCTATATGACTGATGCATCATGTTAATTATTAAGGTCCGATAGAATTGTCACTGATGAAATTGGGCTAGTGGTACAGAGGCCATAATTTTAAAACCCCACTTCCTCCATCCTCCAAGCCCCATGATTCCTTTATGGATCCCTAAAGCATTTATCTCAGCGGGTTACAATTGCTTATTGATGTATGAATTTCCTACCAAGCTCTGAGACTAGATGGCCAATTGCCAGTGACACCACATAGACACATGGATATCTGCTTATGTTAACAACCTTGACTGAAATGAATTTATTCCAAACAGGTGAATACGACATTGAAAAGAAGGAAGATACAGAGCAAAGGCGAAATGTGATTCAAATTGTTCCTCATCATAGTTACAATGCAAGCATTAATAAGTACAGCCATGACATTGCCCTTCTTGAGCTGGATAAACCCTTAGCGCTGAACAGCTACGTCACACCTATTTGCATTGCCAACAGGGAGTACACAAACACCTTCCTCAGGTTTGGATCGAGCTATGTGAGTGGCTGGGGAAGAGTATTCAACAAAGGGAGGCCAGCCTCGATTCTTCAGTACCTTAGAGTTCCATTTGTTGACAGAGCCACGTGCCTTCGGTCCACGAAATTCACCATCTATAATAACATGTTCTGTGCTGGCTACAGTGAAGGAGGTAAAGATTCATGTCAAGGAGACAGTGGAGGTCCCCATGTTACTGAAGTGGAAGGGACTAGTTTTCTAACTGGAATTATTAGTTGGGGTGAAGAGTGTGCAATGAAAGGCAAATATGGAATATATACCAAGGTATCTCGGTATGTCAACTGGATTAAGGAAAAAACAAAGCTCACTTAAATGAAAAATATATTTCCAATATTGATTCATTGGGATTGAAAGGTAATTAGGAACTTTACTGATTAATCACTTTCCCATGTCTTGTTAGGTTAGAATGTACACATTCTATAAATATTGCTTTTTTCCTCCTTACAAAGGAGAATCACATCTAGAATTTATATTTTACTAGAGTAAGTTGATTAGAGAGTGTAATTACTAAAGAAATATAATTTGGTAAAAAAAATCATGACCATTTCCATGGGCCCAACCCTTGACAAAATTGTGAAGTTAAATTCTCCACCCTGCCCATCAGGTAGTATGGCTGTCCACCACAGTAACCCACCTGACTCTCCCTCCTTAGCAGCATTCTGTGTTCTGAATCTTTCTTGTCTCTCCCACCAAAGCATCAACATTCATTAGGACTGTGTCCAAGGATCTCTGCTCCAGAGTGCCGCAAGGCCAGCACTACACCGCACTCATAAAGAAGAACACAGGAGCACTGATGAGCTAAAGCTCAGCAACAACACTACTCCTTTTCCTCTCCTCTTTTTCCTGATCCTTTATCTTTTCCAACTACCAATCCCCGAGTCCATTTTCCCCTTTCTCACTCCCTCCCTCCCTTTTTTGCTCCATAGTCCTTAAAGAAGTGAAGGAATGCATTCTCCTGTTTCACTGCTGTACACAAGTACACATGTCATCAAACGCAGGCTGGATTTCACTTCAGTCTCAGACTTACATTTTAGAATATAGAGGATGAAATAAGTTGCCTGAATAACATGGGGAGGGTCAAGTTCCTTTCAGAGTTATTATATTTATCTATGAAATATATATGTGTGTGTGTGTGTGTGTGTAT